TGAGAAGTTACTGAACTGTTGCAAATATCTAGCCTGACTCAAAGCTTTTCAGAAGAAAACTTTGCATTGCAGAGTTCATTGCAAAGGTCTGTTGCTATAAGTAGTAATAATATTAGTTAAGAGTGAGTTAGGAATGTTACCTTAACAGACAAAGTAAATAAGGTAACTGCTGCACTTAGGTATAATGATAATCCAGCATAGTTTCAGCTTGTTTCCTTGTGTGTTTCAATATAAGGAAAAAGTTACTTGTGTTTTCTCTGTTGAAATGGTGAAGCCCCAGGTGTTTTGTCCAGGCATTTAGAAGTACATACCAATACATCATAAACCAGAGGCACAGAAGTGCAGTGAAAACATTGTATATTCTGTTAAAGATTAAATCAGTCCCAAAATGTTGATAGAATCAGGAAAAATGTACTTTGCGTAATGATGTAAATACCAAGAGATACTCTTGTGTATATAATGGAAATAGAAAAAGTGACTTCAGAACCATTTCCCCTGGCTTTTTTGACTTCATGGGTTTAAAAAAAAAAAGTTGAATATCTAGATAATTTTTAAAAGATGTACTGTATTAGAAATGTCAGAAATTATTCCCTTCCATATATATGGGAGGAGGGGATCTCCTTGCCCTATGTAATTCAGTTAAAAGTGAACATTAAGGAATTACGTTGTTTATTGCATTTTTTGTCTTTTATGTCCAGCACTTCAGCTAGACTGTCTCTAGCTGCTCTATTTTACTGACAAATTTTTCTAGGTTTACAGTGTGACTGTTATGAAGGTACCATTACATAAGTGAATTGTTTTTCTATAATGTATCTTCTGCTATTTTCATGTACGATGTTATAATAGATGAGCATTATTTACCTGCTTTCCTGTTTCTTTGTACAGGGGATGTTAAGTGAATTAAGCACATGAGCAGTTAAGCCCATTTGCTTAGGGAGGCTGATGTTGAGACAAGGAGGTTATGGCAGGATATGGAGCAGTCTGGAGGAAAAGTACTGTGGATGTAACCCTTCTGGTAGAAGAACTGAATTGAAATGGGGACAATACTGTTAATTCATGTGTAATTACATTCCTTTGTTGTTAAAAATTAAATCCTGGACAAGAGGAAAGTTTGAGCCTGGAACTGTGTTTTGAAGCAAATTCGACCTGATGCCTTTCCAAAAATCTTTGGAGATTGCCAGGACTTAGTCGCCAGGAGGTAGCTGCCTGATGGACATGTTTATGTTCTTTTATCGGCTAACTTTTCTGTGCATTTATCAGCATCTTTCATCATGCAGGTTATTTATAAAATATCACCTGGTACAAAACTTTGCTTCTCTTCCTCTCTTCTCTCCACTAAACCACAGTTTGAGGGAAGGATTCACCATGCACTGTTCTTTCATGTGCAACGTCTGGGTCAGCCATCAGGAATTCCCTGCTCTTTGGGGCTGGCATTTAAATCTGCACAAAAATCTTTGCAGTTCGTCGCACCTAATGTGATCACTACCATAGAACCAGAGGCCCCAAGGCCTTCCCTCACAGAAGTAATTCTGCAGGAGTCTCAGCAGGGATACGGGTTGCAAGGCCTTTGTACCTTGAGATTTGTACCTTAAAAATTGTGCATGCATTCTCTACAATGTAGTAGTGACCTGCAGCGTTTCCCCCTGTAAAGTACATTTTAAAATGCTTTTATGTTTCACATAATGATTATTCTTCCAACATCTCTGCCCATTTCCCCAGCCCCCCCAAGATGTTTTTAACTGCATTTTTTAATGTTAGGAATTCCCTTTCACTAGGAACTGTGGAATTATTGCATCTGAAGAGTACTCCCCTTTTTCCTCTATTCCATCAGTGTGCCAGTCTGATGCATCTGTTTTGGATGTCAGTCATTCATATTTCTACCCCAGGCTGTGAGTTCACCTTTTCACAGGAGATGTTTTCTGAGCTGCTTGTTTCTCTGGTGCTTGCCCCTCCTTTGTCCCCCATTGTACTGGTATGTACTTCAAAATACTGGACTTTGTTAATTCAGCTAAGAGGTGGCACACCAGTATGGTGCCTGAGCCTTTCATCCTTTGTACAGTCCATAACGTGCTAAAATGATTGTTAGCTTTTGCTGTGTTTGGAGACAAATGAAGCTTAATATCTCTGCCCAGGCTCTGAATTACCTATGAGATTCTTTATTTAATCATTTCAATCTGCGTTGCTCATGGCTCTTCAACCTCTATTAGACTTCTTGTCAGAGAGTGCCGGCACCACACAACACAGTTTGCTGGCTGGCTGGCTCTGTACTTTATTGTGTGTTGTCTTTATTGTATTTGTGGGATTTATTGTTATTTCACTACCAATCTTCACCATTTTTTTTAGCTCTGTGTTAACCCTGAAAAGTTATAGAATTGGGTTAAGAATTAAAAGGCTTTCAAAGCATCCTTGTCCTGAAACAACTCTGCAGGGCATGAATAAGTAACAAATGGATTGTTTTTCAGTCAAAATGAATCAGCTGACATGAGCTTCTCTGTGAAAAATCTGTTTGAGTTTTTACAGCTACCTGTAGGGTTATATTTCTCCCCTTTTAAGTTATACAAGAATTTAGATTACCTTCAATCAGTGACCACAGGCTGAATCGACCTCTGAAATTATAGATCTTCTTGAACCTTGTGAGAAGATCAAAATGTATGGGATTCTGCGTTAGAGAGGATGTATTTTGCCTGTGTTCTTAAAGTACACATTTAGCATGACACTAGGTTGATTAGATGATTTCCTAAAGCCACAATTTAGTTCTTCAGGGTCTGAATGTGTCATTTTTTTAAAAATAGAATGTACAGTAAGAAGCCATACTGGTATTTATGGTTGTTGATTCACAATAATTCCGGACTAGATAGAGGTGGATATTTAAAGAAGATATAAGCCGATTGGAGAGTCTGAGGAAATCCTGCTTGCAGCATTCAGTTTTAGAATGCTTTTTCTTTCTCCTACATGTCAGTCCATGATAAATATGTGTATAAAGTTATTATTGTCACATATAATTATACCTTGAACAGACATAAGGGTATAGTTTTCATAATAAATACCTCCAGTATAAGTTGTACTGTGGCACAATTGCACAATTAACCATCACTTTTCTTTTTCAGCATCTCATTACTTTCAGCCTAAATCTTCTGGGAGGACCGTATATAAATAGGTAGCTTTTCTTTTTCCCCAATGTGACCTTAATTTAGGGGCTAATAGAATTAAAAAAAAAAAATCCTTAGAAAACACTCACTTTAGAGGTGAAAAACTTTGCTTTTTGCTTCTGACAATTACAGAGTCCCAAATCTGCTCAGATTAGACTAAGCTGGTCTTCCTGTTTGATGTCTTTCACGCTGGACACTGTGTCCTCACTCAGCTTTCTTGCCTCTCTTTCATCAGTGCAGTGTTTTATTCCTACCTGGTAGCTTATAAGGAGGTGGCTGAAGGAGCTCCACTGAATGCTCTTTCAGAAGTTTGGCCATATATTCTGAGTTGTGTTCTCTCTTTAACATCTGGCAAGCGTGAAATTTTAAAGCTGAGTGTTTTCACTGGAGTGTTGAGCATTCTTTTACATGGTTTCCTGTAAATCTGTTATTTTTCATCAGCAGGAAGCTTAGAAGTGCTGGGAGGTAAGTGCTGGTCCTCAGCCTGCTTAGCTTTACATGAACCCCATGTGCCAAATTTTTACTATGTGCCCTGCAATGTGGTCGATGAAGTCTGGTGTGGCGACTAGGGTAGCTGCTTCCAGGACTTCCCTATTGAGAGACTTGCAAACAAGCTGGGAAAGCAGTGAGGAGAACTGACAGCTGTGAGGTCAATCCCGCAGCTTTGTCAGTTAGTGTGTGAAAAGGTCCTGTGGTAGCATTGGTGATGATGCTTTGATATTAATCTTGAATACCTCTAAAATCTTCTGTATTATTAAACCAATAGGGGTGATGTTTACTAATGGTACCACTATGGGAAGGTAACGAGACACCTTTAGAGCCCTCTGGTAGAAGTGTTTCAAGGATCTCATGCTATTATTTCTGAAAGAGCATGGTAACAGAGAACATCGGGAGGTCTCTGGAGAGATTAGGGAAGATAATGTGATTGCTGAAAAATTAACACAAGTTGCAGCTGTATGATAAAAGCTTTAAAAAGTTTTTTCAAACCATATAAAGCAAAGAGAAAAACTAAAAGCGGCTCCCCAGGCGGGGCTGAAATAGATGCATTGTATCTGCCGAGGCTTAGTCCTGTAGTATTTGGCATAATTTGAAAGTTGAAGTTACTTCAAAATTTATAGTTGTTTCTAAAAAATTATCGAAAAACCACTTCAGATTCTGTTTCCTGAAAGTGCAAAAGTTCTGCTAAGTACAGTAGGTTTCCTTGTTTTCATGTGTTAATTCTGGTATTTTAAAAGTGTGCAAATGGCATTTGTCTTTGGATTTACAAAAACTCTAGATATTCAGAGTTTGAATTATTTAAACTCCCACAACACATGCACTTTTGCTTTTCAAGCTTGAGTTATAATTTAATTAAAAACTTCTGGTGCATCGCTAGCTATTTAAATATTAAAATGTTCCATGGATCACTTTCGATTATCTACCGTCATGAAATTCCTGAAGATGTCAGATTTTTAAGATTCCCAAAGTTGCACTTGGAATTGTCTGTTGATGCAAAGGGGACTGTGATAATTACATACATCCATTAGTATCAGCAGAGGAGATAAACTTTGGGGAGGCTTAATGGGCATGTCTCAGTGACAGCTAGCAAAGAACATTTGGCATGATTAAGGATGGATTTGAATGTACTTGAAAATATACTCTCATTATGGACGCCCAGTGGAAGTTGCACTACAAATGTTAAATTCCCCAGAAGAAGAGTTGTGTGGCAGGGAAGCTTTGAAATCCACTGTGGCCGTCATCCAAATTACTCTCTTCTCTTTGTGTCTTTCCGCTGTCAGATTCACTTTGTGATGCCCAACTTGGCTCCTTGCATCTTTGAAAAGAGGCAACCTGTTGGGTTTTGTGTTTCAGATTGTCCGAAGATACATCAAGGACTGGCTTGAAAGGAAGAAGCCTCCGTTTGGTGCTATCAGCAGCTGTGTGCTCCTGATGATCATCTACACAACATTCTGTGATACTTTTGCCAATCCGAATATTGACCTTGATAAATTTAGCTTGATTATAGTAGTGTTCATAAGTAAGTTCAGCCTTAAAGCATCTCTTTTATCTGTGTTTTGGGTGTGTAATGAGCTCTCTGTACTGGAAAGGGTGGGGCTGCGGGGATACTGGCATGGGGCTAGAGCTTGTACTTCTAATGCGTCCAGTAAACCAGATTACCAGACTTCTTAGGGGCTGGGTGCTTTTAGGGGATTGAGTAAGCACTTAGGGGTGAACCCTGCTATTTAGGTGTGCACGGTATTACTTTCCAAGTGTTTACGACTATTTTGTTTTGGCTTCTTTGTTATTAAACAACCATAAATGCACAGGTGTTGCATTCCAAACAGAAAGGAAAGATTTGGGTTTGAGCTGTTACTCAAAAGCACTTTTAACTTTTAAATAGTTCTTCCTTACCATATTATAAACCTAGAAACTAGTTGGGAGTTTGAAATTGTTGATACATTTCTGTGGATGAACATATTTCTTGCAGAGTTTGAGAATATCCTTGCCAACAGTTAAAAATACAGTTGCAGGTCACTACCTGCCAGGGAAAGGCAGTCTTATACAGGCACTGTCTCCTCTCCCAGTAGGGAATTCCTGTCTTACTTCAGACTGTCCGGAGACAGGAGTTTCAATTTGCTTGGGGGAGAGGTAATAACTACAGTATACTACAGTGTAAATCACATCTTATGTGCTCTAAACCCGTTGGATTTCAAGAAATCAATGCATCACCTACCTTGAAGTGTGTGTATGTGCACATGTTTCTGTCTAATAAAAACAACGTATCTTCTATAAATCCAACCTCCACTGAAGTCAGTAGGAAATTTGCCCCTGCCCTTTGTGAGTCAGTTCTTACTCTATCCTAATTGTGGCAGTTTTTGGATTATGAAACACTATATGTGTGTAAAATACTTATAAATGGTACTGTATAACTGCTTTATTCTGAAAGCAAAGAAGGAAGCCATGCTAAGGAGCTTTTTTCCAAAATGGAGGAAACATTTGCACATAGGCATCTGAGAAGGGCCACATCCCAGATGCACTTAAATCAGTGCAGAGTTGTCAGCAAAAAAGAGGGATATGGAAATTTTCGACTCTGACTTAACATGCAGAGAAACTCGGAGTGAAGTAATTTTATGTTACTGTGCTGACGGCTACTTTGAAAAAAAAAAGTTCTTTTTTAGTTAAAGGCATGTTCTTCCTTGAACAGTTGGTGTAGAGTTGTTGCTTCCATTGCCTTTCTTGTCCTTTCTTTTATTTCTCTGCACGACAACTCTGCATTTGTGCCATGTGTAATTATATATACCACTTGCAGTGCAATACACTGAAAAACATTATACATACATTTTCATTGCCAGTGTGCATAACTAGAGTTTCTTAGTAAGAATATTAACATAAGCACTGAAACTGCTTGGAACATATTAGACTTGGTTTTTTTCTAAAATATTTATAATACCAAAAAACAAGGAAGACGTGGAGATTGATATACACATTGTATTCTAGAAAATATTTATAATACCAAAAAACAAGGAAGACGTACAGAAGTTTCTGTACTGCCATTGGTTGTGTTGGCTGGATGTGTGTGTTGTGTTGTACCAGGACATGAAATTAGCACGAGGAGTTTGAGATGAAACTGCATTTATATTCTGCTGATTAAGGTTTTATGTAATTTCATGTTAATAATCTAGCTACTGCAAAATATGCACAAGGGATAATTGGTGGCAACACATGCTTATTGTTTTATAGAATTAGACGTATTAAGGGAGGTTTTTTTTTCTGTACATATTAAATTAATGTACTTAGTTGCAGAAAAATTGTAATTCAGGAACAATGGATTGCTTCCTTAGTTTGTGAAGGAAGGATTAAGTGCATGCTGAGAGAACATTTATACATCCTAGGAAATGTATGTAAGAGAATAGAAATTGCCACTGGTAATAGCTAATATCCCTGCCATGTTTCCCTGTTGTAAACTGGGGTCAAAATCAAATGTATTGCCTTGGCTTGCACTGCGCTATGGGACACATTAGCCTTACTGCATTCACAAGTTTTGCAAGGACCCTTAGAGGACCCACCCCAGATTCAGCTGCCAGTAAAAGCCCTGCCCCCATAACCCACAAACACCCACAAAAGGTCTGTGCAGGTCACAGGGTTTCTCCCCCAGCTCTGCGGGGAGTTCCTGCGCTCTGGCATGACGGTCGGTCTCTGCAGTCCCAGCAGCTACTCGCAGCACAGCGGGGAGGCTGCCTACTTCTCCGCACATCTCCGCAGACCAAGGGTGGGCTCTGTGCATCCCACAACCCCCATGGGTGTCAGGAGAGCTGGCAGAGAGGAGAGCTCCCCTCAGGATGCTCAAAACCCCTCCGTGCTTACAAAGCAGACTGAGCTTGAGCGAAAGCTGCTTTGTCTGATGTATACTGCTCAGTTCAGGAATTAGCCTTTGTCTCAGAGGGAATTAAAACGGCTATGATCACCTTCTCTTAATAGCAGTCATTCATTGGGAGAGTAATATACCCAGTGTGTGAGAATAATTTTTTGTGATCATGGTTACACACTGTACTTTCTCCTCTTAAATAGAAAGGGACTACATTTAAATATCTGGCAACCAGAGCATGTCTGAGAGATTTTATGTTGTCGACCTGATAAGCAAAGCTAGTGCAAACCGATGTGCAGCATGCAGTAGTGAACTTTCCTGCCATTCATCATGTAAAGAAATACTTGATTCAGAAGAGTTACCTCAGGAAGAACTTAGGTAGCCATAATATTAGCTCTAACTTTCTTGGATGTAATGGTATCCGTTGTTCTTCCAGACAGTCTTTAAAGGTTGTCTGTCATTGGATTTCTCTGCATAGACTTGGTCCAGCCTAGCTTTTGACCCGTTGTGTAGGGGCGAAAGGCACATACACAGCATTTGCGGAGATCTAAGTGATGTTTACTTCTGTGATCTAAGTCTAATTTTAACTTGTTTTTCTTTCAGTATTTTCTGTTCAGATGAGCTTCATGTTTTTGACTTTCCTCTTCTCTACAAGGTAATGGAATGTGCTGAATTAGAACCTTTGAATATTTGTTTTGTCTTATATCTTCGGTTTGAGAGAGACAGTTTATGCAAATATCTAAGGGCACGTTTCTGAATAGGGGTGACCTTATTTTGGTATTTCATATTGTCCTTACTGCGTTTTCTCTGTTAGAGTTTCATAGGCTAAGAGAGCAGGACCTGAATTCTGTCCTTTCTTGTGTGTTAATTACAGAGTTGTTAAATCTCAATCAATCACTGCTATACCTCATCCACTGAAAAAAAATGGATTTGCACAGATGTCACTGAAGGTATAATTTGCCCTGCAGACATGCTGATGACATATGAGAGAGAGAACTCAGTTTGACTTTTTACATCTCAAGATACATTTGCTGGGCTGGCAATTCACTCTTCTCTGTATATGTCAAATTTGTTACGTTTATATGGTGATTCTTAAAAGACAGTTGTCCTGAGCTAATGTTTGGTAGAGCTATTTTTTTTTTTTCTTTTTTAAAGATCAACCAGGAAGAACAGTTGTGCATTCACTTCTTAAAAAATAGTACTGTGAGAATGGTGTTAACCAATGGCTTAGTGCATCACTTGAGCTGGTCAGAGTATCCACCATTGTCCTCTTGCTTAGCCTTACTGGAGTATTTTTCTTAGCAGCACTCTGCTGGATGGGAAGTGACACAACAAAGCAGACTTCACACATATGCTTTATATAAATTATACAATATCTGTAAGGAAGAATTACAAAGAAAATTGCAATGTCTTAGAGCTACTTATGCTTTTTTAGTGCCACAAGAAAATTTCTCTGTGACAAGATCATACCCATTTTTAAATAACTTTTGAACTGCTAGACCTAACCTGGGGGGAAGATATGTCCCAACTATACGATGTAAAATGCCGTAAGTAGTAACCAACTCAGTATGGTAAATACTTAGGATCTCATAAACTGATTCCTAATTTGGACCAAAGGATGATCCACTGGCCAGTCATACACCTCACTCTCTATGCCATTTTTCCACCCTTCCTGGCCATACTCCCAGTGTGTAAACCCTTAGATGCAGTTTTCGTCTGAAGTGGAAGATAACTACATATTCTAAGTAGTGCTGGTAGTGTAGACTCAATATGCTATCTAAATTGAACATTTTGATAACATTACATACTAGGCAAAGAAATCGTAGGCCATTCTCTTTTTTTGTTACAGAGGCAAGCTGGCCACTGCTGTGATAAAGCATGTTTGCAAAAATAACCTTGGCTGGAGTAAAGTTCTGTCCTACATACCATGTGTTCGGAATTCCTCTCCTTCACACAGGAGCATATTCATTAGAGAGTTTGCCACAACTGAGAAACAATTCTGCTTTTTTAAAAAAAAACCAAACACTACTGTTCATTTGTGGGTAGAATTATTTCTGTCACTAGATCTGATCAAAGTGATGTGAACGTGCATATGGATCCTCAAAGTAATATATTTGATCAATGATGTTTTAAGAAGGTTTTTGCTATCAGAGGTTATTAAAACTCTTTCTTTTCTAGGAATAACTCTAGTTTCACACCAGCAGACACAGTGGCTATCATTTTCTGTTCCACACACAAATCCCTCACCCTGGGTAAGTCAGGAGATAAGCTTTTGAGCAAAACCACAGTAACATTCATACCTTGCTGTGTTGGAAAAAAAAAAATGTTGGTTGCTAGCTTTTCTGCTTAAATGGGTTTGGTTTTACTGTGACAAGTAATGCTACCAGTATGATACTAATAGTAGGGTAATATTCTTGCACAGATAAAATAAATGATTATTACAGGGCAGACAACATGATCTTCTCAGATGAGATTTTAGTGGTTATACAGTAAGGCCACCTTATTTACAGAAAGCTGGGGTTTTCTTTCTGTATTAATTCTGTTCCATTGCCTAATCCAATATTGATAAAATTTTCAAGTTTGCTACTGTAAAGATTGTAAGGTATATCTGCCCAGTCTCACATTAAAATCTTACACCTAAAAGCTGGGATGTACAGGTGAAAATCAAAACATGTAATGTATTCAGAGATCACAAATAGACACAACTGTCTTTTGCTTAACATGAGCAAAATGTATGTGTTTATTTAAAGTCTGCAGATATTTTGGATAGTTTTATTTATTAGAATTAATTTATCAACACATCTTGAGGTATTTGTCACTTATGACCCCTTAGTGATAATAAGGTGTTCTGATGGACATTCAGAAAGTAATGCTAAATCAGTTATGCTTACAGCCACTTGCTACTGCTTCATCTGTTGTGGTCGGTCAGTGAAACGACTAGTGCTTGAATATTTTCTTACTGTTTTTCAAAACGTGTTTGATAAAGCATATGTGACTGAATATATGCCAAAGAGAAACGCAGCTAGTGTCACTAACAAAGGTAAGAACTCAGCCTGAAACAAGGGAAGAACAAGTCAGTACTTAGGTGAGATGTTTTCCAAGTCAGTCTGATATAGTGAAACTTATCTCAGGGTTCTTTGCTTCAGCCAGGCCTGTGCTGCAGAACTGTTAGCAAGTGCCCTTGAAAGTCTGTGGGAAGTGAAGGAGTTCCTGGAAGACAAGAAAAAGGCAAACATAATGCCTCTTTTTCACAATGGAAATGAAGAGGGGACGAGGAATTATAGATCAGTGAGTTTAACTTAATTTTGTAGACAACTACTGAAACAAATAATTAAATAAATTATTTTAACAGTGTAGGAAGAAGCAAGGAAATGAGTAACAGCCCTGTAGATTTGTCAAATGCATATCTACCAAACTAACATAATTTCCCTTCACACAAGGTCCTGTGGGTTGCAGAGAAGTAGGAAAAGTTGTATGGCTTGAGAGCATTATGGCTTTTGACATTTGCATGATGTTTTGGGTTCCACAATTAAAAAATTATGTGGACCAACTGGAAAGAGATCAGAGGAGAGTGCCATGAATGATCATAGACCTCAAAAATGTGACCTCGGAGGAAGGTTGAAACAACTGGAATTGTTGAGAGAAGACAGCTGAAATACAGTAGTGGTCTTCAAATGCATAAAAGGTTGATGCAAAGGAGGAAAAACGTAACTCTTTCATAGTGGACTTTGAAAAGGGAAGGACTTTGTTACAATGATGATGATGATTTAAGCTAACAATCAGGGAAACCTGTCTCATGTAAAACAGTTTAGCTTTGGAATATATTGCCTATGGATGTCTTGAGTCTCCTATCATTGTACACAAGCCTCAGATAGGAATTAGATAGCTAGAGTTGATCCTGCCTTGGAGCAGAACATAGATTAAATGACATTAGGTCTTTTTCAGCCAAATGCTCTATGAAACTGAAGCTTCAGTTAATAAATGAGCTTGTGTTCAGGAGGACAGTTACACTTGTATTTATCGAAAGCAACCCCACATGTAAGTCATAACACACTACCGTGCTTGCTATTTGGAGGTGTATATAAACTTAGGACACAACTGTGATACTACAGAAGAGAAGCTTCTTGTATTTAACAGCACAAATGTGTAAGTCTCCCCTCTCCAGTGAAAATAGTTTTATATATACTCTGTTGAATGCTTCTGCAGCTTGCAACGACACTAAGAAAATAAGCACAAAGCCTTTTTTTAAGTCCTTGCTGTCACCCAGAAAAAAATGAGGACTCCTCATTTATTTTACTCACTCTACCAAGCATCCTTATGCAGCCTGTCTTGACCTGCACCCTATGCACACAGCTAAGTCAGTTCACTTTTCTTCTGCTAGTACACTCTCCTTTTTATATTTTATTTTCTCCTTTAGAAGAGCTAGTTTGAGGTTCCTAGCTTCCTTGACTTTTTGGCTCACATTTTCCCAATTTCAAGTTACTGCTGTCATTAGCACAGCCCAATGAGTCAGGCTTTGTATTTTGCAGCTTTCTTTGCCCAAGCACACCAACAAAAATACTTTGCCCACCTTGACTTCAAGGACTCCTGCAGCTTCTCCCCAGCCATACATGCTTTTACTTTGCTAATACACGTCATGGATAAGCGTGCAAGTCGAGATGAAACAGGCAGATAGTAGAATGCAGTATTGCAGGACTGTTTCTTGGCTACAGACTGTTCGGTTTGTCAGCTTCAGGACAGAGTGCTTTGCCTTCATTCTTGAAGAGCTGGTGTCTCATGGAAAGCAAGTTTGCCTCCTAGGAGGCCAGTCACAAGATGTAATTAGTTCTTAGGCTTTGCACGTTTGCACTACCTTTCCTTACTGCTCAGGGCCTGTGTTGATCGCTGGGTGCCTGGGACCTGTGCTTCCCTTGCTGTATTCCGTCTCTGAGGTTCAGCTTTGTCAAAGTTTCTCTGAGGCTCCCAGGCTTGTCTTGCATGAGGTCAGCAGCAGCATGTCCTGAATAAAGCACCACCCCTAATGAGGGAATGGTCTTTTTGTCAGTCCCTGGGAATCCATCTTGATAAGCCTGAGCCCGCCGCTCTTGTGAGCACCCCTACACAATGTGTGCCCTGCGTAGGCATGCCTGCTGTGTATCAGTTTCAAGCTGGCTGCTTTTGAGACCACTGGTATTTTACTCTGTTCAGTATTAGTACCAGATCCAGCTAAGATAGGGCTGCATAAACACACATTGCTGTGTAAATAGGGAGGATTGGCTTTTATAAAGCTGTGGTGTGATGAGGCATGCCCCTGAGCTGGTGATGTAAACAGGAACATTAACCAGAGCAGCTAGCATTTATTCCTTCACTGAAGGTGGAAGCAGAGTAGATCAGCCATTTCTGAGTGACAGTTAAATCTATCCACAGCACAGTCTTGTCCACCCTGATCTTAGCAGAAACAAGAACAGATGTAGGCATTTTGGCCCTTACTCTTTTGTTGTTCTGTCACGTTTCTGCTGGTCCAGAGGTGTTTATAGTAAACCATGCAATGAGAAACCTTCTGTTCTCTTGCAGCGGAGAGAGTTTTTCCCTCTCCCTCTGTCATTACAATGCCTGAAAGCACAAACACCGCTCAGGGTCTGGTTTCACGTCCGATGTGGAGCTCTGCTTTGTTTGTCTTCAAGATTCCAGTGGTAGTGTATAAATGACCCCCCAACACTTGTTCTTTCGCTTTGAAACTGATTTCTCTCAGCTTGGCAGGTGAAACTCCAAATAGGTACGTCTGGCCCATTCCCTGGGGAGCTTAGAATGGCACCGACTAAAGTGGGAGAAGAGCTGACAGCTTTAAAGCTTTAGAAGTGGTAATAGGAGAGGCATGAGAAGACTTTTATAAGTCACTTTCTCCCACACCATATTATGAAACCAACTAATTCCCATGCAGTGCATGCTCATGAGGCCAACTGCCACTTCCACTGTTGAATCCGTGAATAAGTGCTTGCTCTGCACAGAGATGAGTGCTGTTCCCATATGCTGGGTTTTATTTTGTAGACAGAACAGTTGACACACTTTTTGTCTCAAAGATCAGAGTGCAGGGCATGTTTGTGTAAGGACAAATTACGCAGGGTAGGTGCCTTTGTGTTCCTTAGTTAGGAACACAAGCTGATATTTCTGTATAGAGGTGCGTGCTTTGGCAGTTTTTCTGAATACAGTGCATCACATGCAGAAAAACTAATGTTTATTTGTATTTTGCTGAATGAGTGGAACAGGATATGAACTTACAAGGAGCGAAGATAAATATAGTATTCACAATGCCCTCTGGCATATTCACCCACACTTTGTTCTCTTTCTCTCCTTCTCCCTACTCACATATATGCACAGTACATGTGAGCACACACATATGCGGACATTTGATGCATGGCTTTTATTAGTGCATTTGCCATTGATTGATTAGTACTTAGTATTAGTACTTCTTCTATTGATTGATTGCAGATGAAGTGACTATTTGACCTTTAATTATGAGCCTTGCTATTGAAAATGACATTGAGCTATGGCTTCACATAATCCATCTGGAAAGCCCGACATGATGCCATTCCCTGGAGTTCATTCAGTGAGAAAAGAAGAGGCCTCAAGGAAGTGCAAAGCTATCAGTGTGGCTCATCTAAAAAAATACTGCTGTTGTTGCCTGCACTTACATAAAAGTTGCAGTCAAGCACAGAACATTATTTTATTTTTTGCAGAGATAGAATTGCTAGCCAGAAGTTACAACTCCAAAAGTAAAATGCAGGATTCTCAAAACATGTTTTCACTTTAATTTTTTGAATTTACTATGTAAAATTATTTTGTCAGCAAAAAATGGAGTGCTGCTACCTATTTTGGCTACCACAAGTGCAAATGTTAGTACTGCAGGTATGATGAACGGTAGATTGCTTAAAAAAAAACCAAAACAAAACAACAAAAATAACTCCACCTTACAATAAAAACAATGTGTTGTTTGTGATGTAGAGTGTATCTTTCCTCATTTGGATTTATCAATGTAGCCATTCTTTGACCATAGAATTCTTAAAGTAATGCAAAGTTTCTAGGCTACAAAATACTTTCAGGAAAGAATAGAGTTCATTTTGCAAATAAAAGCCTAAGTGCTAACTTTTTTTGTTTTGCCTTAATTTTATTCAAATTTATTTTTTAAATACTCAGCTTCTTACAGCAAGAGTATGGAACTGATAGTCCGTACTTGAACAGTTCTTAAAAGCCTGCTGCAATGCACAAGTAGATT